CCGAGGTAGTGTTTTTGTTTTGTTTTCTTAAATACCCAGAAGTGGGATTTCTGGATTGGATGGCAGCTGTTTTAATATTTTGCTGCACAGTATTTCATTGTGTGGAAGCATTCATAATTTATCTAGCAAGTCCCCTACTGATGGATAGTTTGACGTTTCTCAATCCTGAGCAGTTTGTTTTGTGATGTTTGGGGTAAGAAGGAGCATGTCTAGAGCGTGAAGGCAAGAAAGTCCTGCCTTAAAGGTGCAAAGTACCGAGTAGATGTGGGGCTTGAAGCTGTGCTGAAGGCAAAGGTCTCTAAGGGGCGAGGCCTGCAGGAAGCTCCCCTTCCAGCACTCACAACGTGCCTGCTCACCCCACCTGCCCCTGCTTCCTCCCTCCCTCCATGGATCACCCTACCTCCTCCTGACTTTGCAGCCAGGGATGATGAGCATGTGGACATGTATGTGGGTGCATACATGAGCCTCTCAGCAGACAGCCTCTGGGTGCTTCCTTCTCCTCACACCCCCTCTCCCCCGCCCCGCCCTCCCACCAGCACATTCTCCAGCTCATCTCTGCACTGGCAGGAGCTGCAGGCCTTGCTCGGTCAGCCCTGAGCTGTGTGGTTAGAGGACTCAGCTTCTCAGACCCTCCCATGTACTCTCAAATCCAGAGGATCTGGGCTGTGTGGAATCACACCATAAAAAGTCAGGTACCTCGCTGGATCTTTCATTGTTCGGGGGGTTCCCAGAGGGCCCACTCTTGCACAGAGCGCTCTCAGCTTCATCCTACAGAACTGTCCCTTCTGGAGGCATCAGCCTCCACCCCAGCCACCCCTGCTCAGAGGGCCCCTGGCCTGTTTCTCCTCCCCTCCCCACCCTGCCCTGGCCTCTCCCTGCTCCTCCTGGTGCAGAGGGCCCACCAGGCTCATAAATAAGTGTTCCCACTCACAGCCCTTGTTGAGTGCCCCGCTTGCTTCTGCCCACCCACTCCTGCGTATCCCACACACTGGGTCTTCATTTCCTAGCTAGCAGAGGGCTGAGGCAGCTCAACAAAATCCAAAATATGAAAACAAATACCAATAATCTACTCCCCCCCCCCCACCAGCCTCCATTAGGAGCTCCCCGACTCGGCCAGCCCACCTCGGGCATTGAGGGTACCCCACACGCACATACACACTGCCTTCCTTTCAGCGAGTTGTTTGCAAGTGACTCAGAGCTGCCTTCATGCCGGCTGGTGCTCATTTAGGGAAGGAAAATTCAGTGGCCCACATGAAGATTGCTTTATTAAAGTGCAAAGATATTCCGCCAACTGTATTCCCACCATCTGCTTCTCTTGTGATTCTTCTGAAAAGCACAGTTCTCTGTGCCCGCTTGGCCTTTGTCCTTTCAAAGCTGCCAGAGGGCTGTGGCTGGTTAATGGGGCCACCTCTGCTCGCAGACCCACAGGCCTGGCACACAGGCCTGGCACACAGGCCACGTGGGGCAGTCCCCATGCAGTGTCTGGGGGTTGGGGGAACCCTGGCTGTGCAGCTGCATGAAATCGGCAATGTCTGGGGCAGAGGGAACAGCCGGGCCTGAGGGCCAGGGCCTGGGTTTCCAGTCCGAGCGCGGACCCCTGCAGCTCACTTTACTTCGCCAAGCAGGTGTGGGTTTGGGGATCGCACATTCCCTAGGTGGGTAGCTGGGCAATTCACGTCACCTCTCCAAGTCTCAGCTCCCTGCGCTCTAAAGTGGAAATTGTAAAACTAGTACCTTCCTCATGGAGCTGCCATGAGGATCTGAGGTTCTTTCTCAGAGAGTCGCCCGGTAGAGTTTGGGGAACATATTGTCTTGTACTGTTGCCAACAAGTGAAAGCCCTTTGGGAACTGCAAGGTGCCCCCACGTCTGAGATGACGAGGGTGGAGATGCTGAAGGCGACAGCCGGGGCAGGGCTCACATTCCAGGGAAGAACTGTGCTTCCCTGAAGTGCTAGAGCTCAGGTCATACCCCCACCTTACAGATGGAAAAACTGAGGCCCCAGTCAGCAAAATAATCACCGGCAAGTCCCACGGAGATGTGCTCTCCCGGCTTTCTTATCTCAGAGCCCGGCCCCGCCCTGGGCCTGGAGGAAGGAAGGAAGCAGGACTCAGAAATATGTGCAGCAAACCCAGGATGTAAATTTGTGATCATCTATGAATATTCGGCAACTCTTTTGAGTTATTTGTGGCACCTCAGCCCGGCTGGGAGATGTATTCATGGGGCTGTTCTGTTGGCTTAGGTGACAAACAGTTGCTTCTCTTTGTCTCCTTTTTTTTATGGAAAAATGTTTACTTTTTACATAAGGACACTGCACACCCTGCAAATGCCAGGGCCTCCAGAAACTGCTTCAAACCCAAAAGAAGTCTGTCGCTGCCACCCACCCCCATTTGTGCCCCCTTCCCCGAGAGGAGTTATTGTAGAATGAGGGGTGGGGCAGTGGAGGGGTTCTGAGACATGTCTCCAGCTGAATAAAGCAAACCCCGGAACCCGAGGGCGGCCCGGGAGGGAGGATCTGTGTGAGAAGAAGAGCTGCATCGCGCGTGGGCGTCTCTGCTCCTGCTGGGAGCTTCCGGCTGGCACGGCTGCCCACCTGCCCACAGAAGAGGGGCCGCTCGCGTTGACCCTCCCGAGTAGCAGCTGGCCCCTGCCCTCACTTACTGGAAACACAGCAGCTGGGCGGCTGGAAGGTAACAGGGAAACTGGGCCTCCCTGCACCCCACGCGGCCTCAGCCCCACCCCAGAGCCATGGCTGCACGGGAGTCTACACAGCATCTCTCCCCAGAGTCTGGGCATGGCTCCCACGCCTTTTCTGAACCATGGGAGCCCTTTGTATACAGGAAGATGTTTCACAAACTACCCTCTGCCCCAGAGTATCTACCACTGTGAAGTCCCTGGATGGACAAGGCTGACCAAAAGCTACTATCAACTCAAAGGCACTTTTCAGTCCCACCTGTTTTCTCAGTGTCTGTAGACATTAAGGGGAAAGGAGCACCTCCATTGGGTGACACATTATGTATTCAGCCCACGAGTGATGCTGTGGGTGGAGGGAGTGTCTGAGAGTGTGGACTCCTGAGCAGCCGCCCACATCCGGTCAGCGTGGGTGGGTGATAACAAGGGGCTGCGCCCTCTCCACCTCCCTGCAGAGCTCCCTCCTCCCCAGGGAACTGACTAGAACAGCTTCTCTCCGCAGGCAAGGCCCAGCTCCCTCTCCTCTCCACCCCAATCCATCACCATTAGCCTGACCTTGCCACGGCGCCGTAAGCAGGGAGCCGGGCCGGCTCTGACAATGCCTAAACACCTGACAAATCTCTCCAACTTGTTTTCTGCCAATGATGTCATGCACGGCTCCGTGGATGGGTGCGGTGGGTGCAGCGGGAATATTCTCCGAGCTTCTCTGTCAGCTTCTGTCCACGTCTCGGCTTCGCAGCGTGGGCTTGCCCCTGTGCCGGCCACCTTCTGCGTCTTAAGCGCCTCAGCTCTTATTTAGAGCTCAGCTCAGATGCCTTCTCCCCGAGACCCCATCCCTGATGGCCCTGAGCCCAGCCAGCCCCAGGGCCTCTTCACTCCATTTCCCTGTTTTCATTTTCTTCAGAGAACCTGTCAATAGCTGACACCATTTACTTGTTCATCTGTTTGCCTGTCTATCCCAACTAGAGTGGAAGCTCTCTGAAAACCAGGACATTCCCAGTGACAAAAAGAGCCTTGCCCGTAGCAGGCTATAACATAAATATAAGCATAATAAACATAAATCCTATATAATAAAGATGTTATATGCAAATGGTCATTACGCCGTGAAGTGTAACAACCGACCATGTAACGACCAGATCACGGATCAGCAGAAGAGTGTGGCAGCGAGCTACAAGCGGGCAGTGGAGAGCTACAGGAGGGGGCAGGGCAGCAAGCTATGGGGGGGTTGGGAGGAGCTACAGGAGGGCGGGGCAGTGGGCAGAGAGCTACTAGAGGGCAGCAGTGAGCTACTGGCAAGCTACTGGTGCACAGATTCATGCTCAGGGCTACTAGTACAAATATAAAGATAAATATGTGATATGCTCCCGATAATGCAGCAAATCAGCTGCAGAGCTGGGATATGTCCCCAGGTCTCCCAGATAGCCACCCCACCGTGTTCTTTCCAACCTCCCAGGTAAGTGGTATAGCCAGGATTCGAACCCAGGACTCCACAGCCAGCTGCTCATCACTAGGCTTTACCCTCTCCCAAAAACAGCCTCTTGCTGACTGGCCTGTCCACTGAAAGTTCTAGCGTGCCACTGTCCAATAGGGCAGCCACTAGCCGGGGGCGGGGGCTATTTCAGTGTAACTTCATTAAAACTAAACCGAATTTAAAATTCAGTTCCTTCGTACACTAGCCCCACTTCCCTGCTCCACAGCCACATGTGCTAGTGGCCACCGTGCTGGACGGCACAGACGGGACGTCAGCATCACTGCAGTGCTGCTGGACTCTGCACGTTCTAGGCTCCCCCGGCACTGAGAACCATGCTCAGCTCATATTTTTTATTCAATGAATGAGGAAATGAACGAGAACCCCCTCCCGCTGTCCCCTGCTGCTGACCCCTTCTCCTTCTGTCCCTCAGGGAAGGATGAAGCCAGCAGCGTGGAGGTGACGTGGCCAGATGGCAAGGTGGCCAGCCGGAACGTGGCCAGCGGAGAGATGAACTCGGTGCTAGAGATCCCCTACCCCCGGGATGAGGACAGACTTCAGGACCCAGCCCCACTGCAGGTGAGAGGGGCATCTGGGCCTGATGGCCAGAAAAGAGGCCTCATCCACAAACCTATGGGCTGCAGCTGGATTCCCGGGAATCTGCAGACTTTGCCTCTAGAACAGCGGTTCTCAACCTGTGGGTCGCGACCCCTTTGGGGTCGAACAACCCTTTCACAGGGGTCGCCTAAGACCATCGGAAAACACATACATAATTACATATTGTTTTTGTGATTAATCACTATGCTTTAATTATGTTCAATTTGTAACAATAAAAACACATCCTGCATATCAGATATTTACATTACGATTCATCACAGTAGCAACATTACAGTTATGAAGTAGCAACGAAAATAATTTTATGGTTGGGGGTCACCACAACATGAGGAACTGTATTAAAGGGTCGCGGCATGAGGAAGGTTGAGAACCACTGCTCTAGAACGATGGAAATCCTAGCAAAGGGCAGGCTTTATGATGATCCCACCATGTGTAGTTTGCACAATAGTACCACACGCACATCTCTTCTGCTCCTCACAGACATCTGGGGGTATTGGCAGGCCAAGTATTTTTGCACCCATTCTACAGAGGAGGAAAACTGAGACCAAGTGGGAGAACCCACCAGGCTGTGCAACCAGTTGGGAGCAGAGTTAAGAATTGACCCCAGGTCTCCTGTTTCCCTCCCAGCTCTTTCCAAATCTCTGTCAAGCCTTGTGTTCGTTCTGAGGGTGGGGTCCAGCCTCTGGGAGCTCTTGGAGAAAGAGCTCTAGATTCCAACTCTGATGGTGGTCACGTGGTTGCAAATAACAGGAACCCACCTAAATTCACCTCTAAGGAAACCTCTAAGGAGACCTCTAAGGAGACCTCTAAGAAGACTTCTAGGGGAGCTCACAAAGTCCATGGAAAGCTGAGGGTGAGCAGGAACCATGCAGCTCAGTGGCCTCCACCCCAGGAGCTCAAGGATCTTTGTCATTTTGCACTGGCCTGGGGATGAGGAGGTCATTACCCCTCTCTAATAATCCCCACGCCCCACCCTTGTCCCTCGGTGCTGACAGCTGACATTTTCTGTCTTGTGTAGAGTGTTGTTTTGAGTCTCCCTGACCTGCTACCAGTCTGCTGTCCCCGAAACCCCCATATAGACACAGCAAAGCCCCCACAGCCTGGAGTCACCAAATCTGTTTCCAAATCCATCTCAGCCTCAGTTCAGATTCTAGCCACAGCATCTTTGACTCATCCCTCCTGCTGGGATGCCCACCCCTGGCCCAGCTGGCCTTGCCCAGAGAGATGGGGGGGTGGGGGGACTGGCTTGCAGGTGCCACCCCTGTGAGTGGGGCAGGTTCTCAGAGAAGAGGGTGTGGGGAGTGAGCAGACACCTCAGAAAGCTTCTCCCACCCCTCATTACCCTTTGCCTCAAGTGAGACCCAGCCTCAGTCTCAAGGCAAGGCCACAGGAGGGCCCGTTTCTGTTACCTGTCCCCGCTCAGACATGTGGGTCCCACGTGAGGGGAATGAGCAGGAGTTTGGACGGAATCTGTTCTTGACCTCCCCCCAGTGTCTTATTCTCAGTGCCAGGGAAGGAGTCCTGGCAGGGAGGGGCTCCCTCCAGGCCCCGAGCTAAGAACATCCCTCCTGGGGCCGGGGTGACAACTGCCTGTGGCTGTGATAGGGCCTGAGATGCCATCTTCTCAACTCACTAGTGTCTCTGCTTCTGCCCACTTTGCAGTGCGGCCAAGGATTCTCCCAGCAGGAAAATGGCCATTGCATGGGTGAGTTGCCTGCAGGCACCGGGGGATGGAGCAGAGGCCAGAATCTCCCTGGGGACGGTCAACCTGAGTCCTGGCAAGGCTCAGGTTGCCGACAAGGGGTAGAAAGTGGGGAGGGGAGCCTATTGTTTGTCCCCGGGGCTCCAGATGCCAAGACAACCGCCAAGTGACTCACTGAGGTGGGAGCGACATTAGCAACCAGCAGGCTGAATCACCACAGTTCTGGGAATTGGCAGAGCTTCCGTGCCGTGAATACAGAGAGAATGGCCATGAGACACACCACGGCCTGGACAGTGCTCACAGGGAGGCCTGACTGCTGGGGGCGGTGGAGGCTGGGTTGGCACAGGACCCCGTGGAGAGCTGGCATTTTCAGCCTGGCCACCGGTGGAGCAGCAAGGGCACTGGAGCTAACAGGGTGTGGGGTATGGTCTCAGTACAAGGAGGTGGCAGCCTTGAGCAGTATGGGGGGAGGTGGGCAGGTGGCTGTGGCACTGCCAGGAAGGCAGCTCTGGGAAGGTCCGGTGACCTGACAGTCCCCCAGGGACTGGAGTGGGAGGTGGGCAGCCTAGAGGCTCGGCATCCAGAAGGTTCACAGATGTCTTCCATCCCATTGGCTGACAGTAAGGGGTCAGATCAAGATGCCTCCTGCCTTTCAGCCCTCAGGGAGCGTTCTTCCCAAGTCCCCCCTGCAGATGTCCGTCCGCCCAGGCAAATGTGTTTGCTCCTGAGATACAAGAGTAAACACGACAGAGAGTCCCTCACCAGGGCTTAGAGCTCATGGGAGAGGCACACGAGTTCACAGCGATGCCCACAGAGTGTGAGAGGCTGGGGTGGGGGAGGGGAGGGTGGGGGTGGCAAAGAGGTGGGGCCCACACCAGTCTAAGGAGGGTTCAAGAAGACGCCCCAGGAGGTCAAGGTCTAAGCTGAGACCTGAGGGGTGATGAGGAGTTTGCCAGGCCAAGAGAGGGGCCGGAGGGCACTGTGTGGACAAATGACCACAGGTGAGGAAGTGGAGGAGGAGGGCTCTAAGAGGCTTGAGGAGAAAAGGAGTCCCCTCCACTCTCCATGTCCCCACTCTAGCCACTCCAAACGGACGGTGCACACACAGAAATTCCAGCACCTTCCTTGGGCACTGGAAGGTCCCTGTGAGATCACCAATCCAGCCGCCTCTTCCGTTTCACTTTCCAGTGGACATATATGTGCCTCCCCCACACCGGGCCCATGTGGGGAGCTGGGAACGCAGGCCAAGCACCTCCCCTGGAGGGCGTTCATCCTAGTGGGGGGAGGCAGACCATCACTCGTGACCCAATAGCTGGACTAGATGAGTTAAGAACCCATTAAGCAAGGAGCTCTCTGGAGACTGTTCTAGGTAGAGTGGTCATGAAGGGTCTCAGAGGAGGGGACCTTTGAGCTGAGACCTAAAGGATGAGAAGGGCCTGGCCATGGAAATACCTGAGGGAAGAGTGAGGACCACGGGGCAGGTAAAAGGCTTGGAATGTCAGAGGAGCAGGAAGGAGGCCGATGCACCCAGAGAGGACAGAGGAGCCAGATCCAAGTCCGGGAGAGTCTTGACGCCCCGGAAAGGTGTCTGGACTTTGCTCTTAGGGCCCTGCACAGTTTACAGGAGAGTAGCATGACGTGGTCACACTTTCAAAAGATCACGCTGGCTGCCGAATTGCAGATTGGATTGGAGGGAGGCGTGGAAGCCAAGAGGCCAGTCAGGAAGCAGCTGCAGAAATCCAGGCAAGAGACGGTGCTGGCTGGGAATGGCTGGTGGTAGAAGAATGAGAATGGGAAGCAGGTGGGCAGACAAGGGGGATACCGTAGGGGCAGAACTAATGGGATCTGTTGTTACATTGCCTGCAGAGATAAGGAAAAAGAAAGAATTGGGTATCACTGGTTTCTGCTTGAGTTAGGGAAGATGGGAAGAGGGGGCAGAAGAGGTTTGAGGACTAGAGGGAATCTAAAGTTCCATCTGGAACCTACTAAGTTTAAGATGCATTTTAGACACATTCACAAGTCGAGAGCCCCAGGGAGAGGTTGTGGCTGGAGATAGGAAGTCTAGAATCATTCATGTATGAAGGGACCACCTAGGTAAAGTATGGTAGATAGAAGACCCAGGACTGAGCCTGAGCACCCCTAACATGTAGAGGTCAAGCACAGTAGGAGTCAGACAAGGGGCCTGAAGTGAAGAAGTTGAGGCCCAGAGATAAGGGACATGTCCCAGGCACAGAGCGGGTGGAACAGCAGAGCCTGAGCAAGGACCTACGCCCTCCTGAGTGAGTGATTCCCTTCCTTTTCAGACACCAACGAATGCATCCAGTTCCCATTCGTGTGCCCTCGAGACAAGCCCGTGTGTGTCAACACATACGGAAGCTACAGATGTCGGACCAACAAGAAGTGCAGTCGGGGTTACGAGCCCAACGAAGATGGCACAGCCTGTGTGGGTGAGTCAGCCCCGGCCACAGTCCAGTAGCAAAAAGACTTGGCCATCTGCTGGGGAGCTCTGGGGAGGCCCCAGATCAGGGTCCCCAGCCCCTGCCTTCTCCTGGCTGGATGGAGTCTCCTTAGACCCCTGTTGAGTCTCCAGGGAGACATGACAGAGTCTTGGAGAAGCTCAACCACTACCGCCACCAACTGAAGGGCCCCTGGGTGCTGTGCTCTCCGGCCGTTGCTCTTCTGATTTCTCCCTTCTCACATTTTCTAAGACAAATGCTCCTACCTGGAGGCCGGCCCATCCATTCTTACCTGGGGTTTAAACTAGCGCCTACTCCGTATCTTTGTCTGAATTTCTGAACTGGTATTGATTTGTCTTCTTCCTCCCAAACACCTTCCCCCTCCCCGGCCCCACCCCCACCCCTTTTCTCTTTTTCCCATTTTCTATCTCTGCTCCATCCTTTTTGCAGCTCAAGTGGCCTTTTTAGGTGGGTATCCTTCTGCCGCCTTTAGAATCTCAGAGCCTCTCTCTCGGGCCTCATATCTTTCTCTAGGCCTTGGACTTTGCCTTCAGTTCTATGCATTTTAAATTCCAACAATAAAGGAAAAAAAAACCAACAACCTTTGTGGAAAACTAGATTTCTCCTGCTGCCTGTCTCTCTCTCCACGCCCCAAGATTCTGCTGCAAGCTCTCTCTGAATGGACAGCGGGGGCGGCCATCTTTGAAAAGGGAATTTGGAAATACTGATTTGTGTGTAACCTTAGTTGTGTGTGAAGCCTTTCTTTGCATGTTTTCTGAGAAAACAGGGAAGGAAAGTCTCCCCCTCAACCCCAATCCAGCCTCCCTCACTCCAGAAGAATACAGATAGCCCTGTCTCTCCTGTATCCTGAGCGGCTCATTCTGCCCTTCACAAAGATGGCTCTCAGGTGGCGGTGGCTCCGTTGGTTCAATGATGTATCATGTGCCTGCTGGTTTGGCCTGTGCTGTTCTGCTCTGTGCGCCCTGACTTCCTAGTGTAGAGAACGCCTGATGGGGGTTGGTGGTGACAACGGGAGGAGAAAAGGGTGGCCCTTTGGGATTCTTGATAAAAATGTTAAAGTTTCAACTTACTAAGTCTTCCCACCTCTTTCTGGAGAAATTATGCCAATAAACTGTCTGCCTAGCTGGTAGCTGGTAGGGGAAAAAATGTGTCCAGGGCAAAGTCGATGCTGGTTGGAGTGCCAGCTTAGCAGCAGCCCTTCCATCATGTGGTGCTTGGAAAGCCCATCATGGGACAGGGAACGTGTCCCTGGGCACGAACAATGGTTTGGGTACGTGCATCGATGCTCACCTTTGGGCGACGGGGTTTGCACCAGGTTCAGAACGTGGGATAATCAAGATCTAGACATATTCTAGGCCTCTTACCTGGGGAAAGCCAGTTCTCCACTCGGAGCCTCATCGAAGTAAGAATTGGGCTGGTGTGTCCCTAAGACACCTCGGTGTGTGGCTGGACATAGGCATGGCTGGTCTCAGGTTACCCTGAGTTCTAGAAAGAAGCTTGCAACCTGGTCTCCTCTGCAATATGCTTGGAAACTAGAAGCTCCTGTGGCTTTGGGAATGACGCAAAGCCATAGAGTAGTTCCATGGCCAGCCTCGATGTGAAAGTTCATTATAAATCACAGATCTATTCTTCATGGAGAAGAAAAGTCACCCCAAGACATAATAAAATCACACTTAAGAATGCAGAAGCCTTTTAAAAATATATTTAACCAAAAAACTACCATTTTCTGATATAATATTAATACTCCAAGTAAATCACAAACTATGAATGCCTTGTAGCTAGTGCTGTTTTTACACTCAGCACATGAGCTTAAATGAAAAGTTTTCCAATAAAAATAGCTACAATTTCACAGAAAAGCATACATCAACTTAAAAATCACTCCATTTCCGGGAAGCCCGCTCCCGTGTGTTGACATAGAATTAAAATCTCAAAGAGCCCCAGAGATAGGGCTCAGCGCGATGAAGTGCTCTGCCCAAGGTCACAGTGAGCTGGTCTCCGAGCCAGAACCGAGCCCTCTCCCACACACCGTCTTGTCGGGGTGGGCGGGGGAGGGGGCGTGTAACAGACAGCCCTGTCACTGTTCAGACTATTCCCGAGATATCCCGCAAGATGCTGCCTTTTTAGAAACAAACAAATGGACCTAAGATATAAGATAAGTAAAACCCAAAACCCACAGAGGTGATGGCTCCAAATGCAATGGTAAATGACAAGACAATAGTGTCCATTGACTGGCCGCACACACAACACCCGTAAAAGGGACAGGACAGCTAGTGAGGCGGCCTGCCAAGGACGTCCGCAATTCAGGGTGACAGCAAACTCCCGAGGACGGCTTATCGGCAGTAACCACGGATCCCCGCACTTGGAGTTTCTTACAAGAGGGCATGTTTGTGTTGCTTTATCCTACTTGGTCAGTGATGCCAGATGAGTTACTAAGGAGTTCAAAATCCCTCCAGCTCTTAAGAGCACAACCACAGTATCCTGGAGGCTTTTCATTAGATTCATTCATTCACTCACTTATTCACCAAATGTTTGTTGAACACCTACTATGTGCCACGTACTGAGCTAGGCTCTGGCATATGGTGGTAAGTTGCTGTCCCCACACTGCCTTCCTCCAACCATAGCCCAGCACATGGGATAGGAATGGGACTCAGAGGGGCTTTCTAAAAGCTCTAGTGTAGGGGTTGCTATACCAGAAAGCAAGCTCTCTTCATTCGTTCATATATTTATTTCACAAGCATTCATTGAGAACCTCCTGTGTGAAATCATCAGCCTCCATCCCCCTCCCACCCATGAAGAATATGACGAGGTCCCTCCAATGCGTGGCTAAGTCCCCTGACCCCAAGGTGTTTGTGTTGGAAGAAATATGAGGCTAAAAGATATAGAGGACAGGTGGGTAGTGAACCAGCTCAACATGATCTGCTCTGAAATAACAGGCCTCCCCAGTGGCCAGGAGCCCAGCGCCTCAGTCCAGGACATGGACTGGTCTGTGCTGAACCAGTCACAGATGGGTGGGCGCAGAACAGCATCCAAGCTATCAGGCTCAGGATCCCCATCCCCCTCTTTCTTCTAACGCCCCCTCCTCTGAGGCCCTTGGGGGCCCAAACTCTTGCCTTCCCCTTCTAAACACAGACAATTCAGTCTTTCCTTTACCCCCTAGCCCCACTCCTGACATCTTTATTGGCTTATGCTGGATTTGAGTTTGTAACAGAAGTATTGAATGCCTTGGGGCTGACAAGTAATGGAATGGGCCCGGGAGGGCCCATGCCGATGCAGGAGCTGAGCCTCTCTGAAGTGGGCAGCCAGGACTCACTCCAGCAGAGCCGGAAGATGGGCCAGCATTGCCAGAACGTCCCCCCCGCCTTTTTTTTCCCAGGAAAAAACAAATAATAAAAATAATTCCATTTTCATTCTGCCCAAGAATACTGCTCTTCCCAGGAATGTACCCTGTAAAATGACAATAGCTTACATTCGGTGAGCTCGGAGTGTCGGTACCGGTTCTAAACCCTTTACAAGAGTCAACCCGTTTCATCCTCACAACAACCCCCAGAGGCAAGTGCTCTAATGGTCCCGGTTTTGCAGAGATGCTGAGTGGTTTGCCCAGAGTCACACAGCCGGGACAGACAGCGGCAAGGACCAAACAGCGCAGTCCAGCCCCAGCCTGTGCTCTGACCTCTGCTTCTTCCTTCTCCATGTTGGGTGGCTAACTGGTTAGGCAAAAGCCACCATCTCTCAGGCTGCCCAGGATCAAGGGATGGGTTGCGAAGGAAGGAAGGAATGGAGCCCCCGGAGGCCCTGGGATCTGAGACGGTCTCCCCACGGTCTCGTTTGAGCTGCAAGAAGAGATGGCGGTGCCCGGGTTGAGTTCTCTCACTGGGCCAGCTCGGCCAGCCTCCGTGGACACAGGATTGTGAATCACCCGCAGGGCCTCTGCGAGCATCTACTCGGTTGCCAGCCCTGCTCTGGGGAGGTGCCATTCTGAGGGCCAGGAGTTTGGTTATGTGTCACTCTGGCTGCTATGGCCCCCTCCCAGGGTCTGGGCCTCCCACCCTACCAGCACCACCAGACTACAGCGTCCCCAGAGCCGCATGGAGACGGGCAAATGAACTTGATTTTCTCAGGGAGCCAGCTGGGTTTTTCCAGCAGATTCCAGGATGATGCCCCCACCCACACTGTCAGCCAGGAGGCACACCTCCCCAGGGTCAGCCGTTGTCCCTCCCCTTCCGCGTGGGCCAGACCCCAGCCACATTCTGTCCAGACTGATGCTACGTCTCCTTGGCAACAGGCAGCTCGTGTTGGAGAGGAGGGAGAGGGAGGGCGAGGGAGCCTGGGCTGGTTAATTCCACAGATAACACCAGCCCCTCCTTCCACGGCTTGTCCTCTGAAGGAACCACTGGCTGAACAGCAAACTGGTCAAAAGGGTCAACCGTCAGAGAAAAATGAGAAGCAAGAAGAGAAAAAGCAGCCTTCCTCGGGGAAAGAAGCTAACATTCATGGAACGCCTACCATCTGCTAAGAACTTTCCATATGTTTCTCCATTAATCCTCGCATCCATCCTAGGAGAGACATGTTATTAGTCTATGTTATTACCAAAGAAAATAAGGATCAGAAACAAATATGTTGCACAGGTCGCGTGACTAAGTGGCAAGAGCTGTGATTCGAGCCCACAACTCTCTGGCTCCAAAGCCTGTGTTCTTGAGCCTTACGGGCAGCCACCTCCAGTAACTGACACCGGAGCAAGTTATCTGACCAGCTGTCCCTCGGCACACACTGGCTGGCTTGGGACGTACATCTGTGAGCAGCGTGGGCAACGGTTCCTGACGGCTCCGATCACTCGTGGCAGGCACTGGCCAGCACAATAAGTATACGGTGTATCAGGAGGATGTAAGTGCTATTGGGGGCCAGGGAGAGCAGCGTTAAGGCAAGTTGGGAGTGATGGGATAGAGGCCCGGATGCCGTTTTAAATAGGGTGGGTCAGGGCGCTGAGAAGGAGGCCGTTGAGCAAAGACTTCAAGTGGGTGAGCTGTCCTTGAACCTGTTTTCTCATCTGTAAAATGAGGGTGACACCCACCTCCCAGTGACTGTGTGTGCTCAGCTCAGTTCTCGGCCGAGCCATTCCCAGGGAGAACAGTCATAAAACAAGGTACACTGAGCAGGGAGGGCGTGGCATCGATAGCTGATGGAGCAGGAGTCACTGCAGGGAACCAGTCACGTGCCCTGGAGACCCAGCCCTGGGCCATCCCTAAATCCAGAGGCACCTGAAAAGTCTTCTACTCCTGCCCCATCCTTTTCAGATGAGGAAACTGAGCCCCCAAAAGGAGTAGTGACTTCTTGAGGACACAGCCTCGCTGGGAATCCGACTCCTTCCTGCCCCGGGCACCTCCTGGACCGCCCTGCCTCCTGTCCAGAAAGCTCAGTGTCTCCAAAGCACAATGGTGTCACAGCCTCAGGTGCATGGGGGCAGCGCCTGTTCTTCCCCTTGTGCTGATCCAGAATCAGAGTCACGGTCCGTGCCCATCACATGGCCAGAGGAACCATGCCTGGGCCACGGAGCACAGCCAGAAATCCTACTCCCTCCCTCCCTCTCTCCTTCCCCCTCCCCCATCCTTAAAATTATCTCTTCCCACTCTGGCCAGTGTGTTGGTTGAGTGTCATCCCATGCACCAAAAGGTCGCCGGTTCAATTCCCAGTCAGGGCACATGCCCAGGTTGCAGGCAACCAATTGAGGCTTCTCTCTCTCCCCCTCTCTCTCTAAAATCAAATTTTTTAAAAAAGTTATCTCTTCCCTCGAGACTCTGGGATCAGACGGACTCAGCTTTAATCCCAGACACGCTGCCCACGCACTCTGTAAGGGACTCCACATAAGCTGTTTCACTTCTCTGATCCTCAGTTTCTTTCCCCAAAAAGCAGAGCCCTGACAACCTCACAGAGCTGTTGTGAGGTAACCATGTCAGGTGCTCAGTGCAGCGCCTGGGCTGATAAAATGCAGATAATGTTGTAAAATCTGTTCCAGGCCCTTTAACCTCCTGGTTCTGCTTCCAGCAGCGCCTGCTTTGACAAGAACCCATAAGT